GGGGGGGGGGGACACTTGATAGTTTCGGGAGGGGGGGGGGACGACAACATTTTCGGGGGGGGCAGACATTGATAAAAGGCATGTTTTCTATATAAATTCCATTTCGTTCGGGGGTGGGGGGGGGGGCGGTAGACTTTTTACCGGGGGGGGGGGAGAGGGAGGGGAGCGAGATATGCCTGGAAGAAACTCTGGTGAAATCTGAAAGACGTGGAGGCAGCCGTCCGTGACCATATTTTATAGACGACAGCAAATTTTTAATCTTGTTACCTCCCCTTAGTTTCAAATCGTTCAAAAACTGTATTAATAATACAGTAAACTATTATCTGCCCCTAATAGCCATCACGAGATCGACGGCTCTACTATTGTAAACATTGTCGTGAACCACAGCTCACCAGACTGTTAGGGTGATCGCGTCCAGTTCTATTCCCTTCTGTTATTGATTCTAGTAATCAATCGACAGTTTTTATTGTGTTCTCTCCCGTTAATTTCGAAGCCGTTATTTTTTTACGACTGATTAAACATCCAACTAAAACCCCACAAACAAACAAACAAACAAACACACGGCGAAATAAATAAAAGCTTGTATATAAAAGCTTGTAATAACATTTTAATTACCAGCTTTTAAATAATAATGTACTAAATAAACCGGGAGTGATCTCCCCTAAACTTTCTCGAATATTCTTATATGACACTATGGGAGATGGCACATCACTATAAAGACATGATTCTTAATCCATTTTTAATTACTTAAGCTTTTTAAAATAGAATAGAATCTCGTAGAAATAAACCGGCAGTGATCTCCTCTAAACTTTCTCGAATATTCTTATATGAAACAACAGGGAATGGCAACTCGGGATATAGACATGATTTTTAATCCATTTTAAATACTTAAATTTTAAAATAGAATAAAATCTCGTAGAAAAAAGAATTGCACACCAAGTGAACGCCAAATAAAATGTGCATACTAGTGCGGAATATTATTAGTACTTGAGTACCGTTACAGCTAAGTTGATGAAATTTCATATATACGTATTTTATCAAATTTGTAGATCCGTATTAACTTTTGAGCGATTTCTGATAACCGGAAGTGGAACTTTTTCTACTTTTAATTTTTCATAAGCCTATAACTTTAGTACTGTTTCAGATAGATAAATGAAATTTCACATGTAAGTAAAAGATCTAATTCTCTGCCTTCTGTCAAATTTTGAGTTATTTCCGTTTACCGGAAGTAGTAATTTTCGCTATTTCCGATTACTCAAAAAACGTATGTGAATTTATGAAGTACTAATAATATTCGGTTTAGGGGAGATCACTCGCGGTTTATTTCTTTTTAGTGTACAATCAAAGCTTGTGGTCAAAACGTTTATATTAATAGCAGTTTGTATTTACGGCGTCAAGTTTGTAGTGGTGTGGTTCGTTTGGGGAAAATCTATTCGGTTGAGTAATAGTGGCATAGGTTTATATTTTGTTGGCTAGAGTTTGGGTTATGGTTATTGTAAAGATAAGTTTAATTGGCTAGAGTTTGGGTTATGGTTATTGTAAAGATAAGGTTAAATGGCTGGAGTTTGGGTTATGGTTATTGTAAAGATAAGTTTTATTGGCTAGAGTTTGGGTTATGGTTATTGTAAAGATAAGTTTAATTGGCTAGAGTTTGGGTTATTGTTATTGTAAAGATAAGTTTAATTGGCGAGAGTTTGGGTTATGGTTATTGTAAAGATAAGTTTAATTTGCTAGAGTTTAGGTTATGGTTATTGTAAAGATAAGTTCAATTGGCTAGAGTAGGGTTACGGTTATTGTAAAGATAAGTTTAATTTGCTAGAGTTTAGGTTATGGTTATTGTAAAGATAAGTTCAATTGGCTAGAGTAGGGTTATGGTTATTGTAAAGATAAGTTCAATTGGCTAAGTTGGGTTATGGTTATTGTAAAGATAAGTTTAATTTGCTAGAGTTTAGGTTATGGTTATTGTAAAGATAAGTTCAATTGGCTAAAGTAGGGTTATGGTTATTGTAAAGATAAGTTTAATTTGCTAGAGTTTAGGTTATGGTTATTGTAAAGATAAGTTCAATTGGCTAGAGTAGGGTTATGGTTATTGTAAAGATAAGTTTAATTTGCTAGAGTTTAGGTTATGGTTATTGTAAAGATAAGTTCAATTGGCTAGAGTAGGGTTATGGTTATTGTAAAGATAAGTTTAATTTGCTAGAGTTTAGGTTATGGTTATTGTAAAGATAAGTTCAATTGGCTAGAGTAGGGTTATGGTTATTGTAAAGATAAATTTAATTTGCTAGAGTTTAGGTTATGGTTATTGTAAAGATAAGTTCAATTGGCTAGAGTAGGGTTATGGTTATTGTAAAGATAAGTTCAATTGGCTAGAGTAGGGTTATGGTTATTGTAAAGATAAGTTTAATTTGCTAGAGTTTAGGTTATGGTTATTGTAAAGATAAGTTCAATTGGCTAGAGTAGGGTTATGGTTATTGTAAAGATAAGTTTAATTTGCTAGAGTTTAGGTTATGGCAGGGGCGTAGCGAGGGGGGGGGGGGCGGGGGTGCGGACCGCACCGGGTGACACCATTTAGGGGGGTGACACCAAGGCAAAAAATAGCAAAATATATAGAGAAAAACTCGAGGGGGGGGGTGCAAATCGAAAGTTTGAGGGGGGTGCAAATCGAAAACTTGAGGGGGGGGGGGTGCAAATCGAAAGTTTGAGGGGGGGGTGCAAATCGAAAACTTGAGGGGGGGGGGGGTGCAAATCGAAAGTTTGAGGGGGGGGGGGGTGCAAATCGAAAATTTGAAAGTTTGTCCCTGGGAAGGGTCTCTATGGCTCTGGGGGGGTGACACCATTAAGTGCCGCACCGGGTGACACCCGACCTCGCTACGCCACTGGGTTATGGTTATTGTAAAGATAAGTTTAATTGGCTAGAGTTTGGGTTATGGTTATTGTAAAGATAAGTTTAATTTGCTAGAGTTTAGGTTATGGTTATTGTAAAGATAAGTTCAATTGGGACCGAGGTGGATGGTGGAAAATTTTACGGTCAACTGGGCAGAGGCGTAGCGATGGGGGGGGGGGGGGGGGGGCAGGTGGGGACATATGTCCCCGGGCGCCGACCTCAGGGGGCGCCAAAATGGGTTGTAAAAACAAATGAAAGTGTCAATTTAGCTGCATTTTTTGCAGTTTGAGGGGGCGGGGGTGCAAATCGAAAGTTTGAGGGGAGATGCAAACCGAAACGTTGAGGGGGGGGGGTGCAAATCGAAAAGTTGAGGGGGGTGCAAACCGAAAGTTTGCTCCCGAGAGGGCGCCAAATTGAAAGTTTGTCCCCGGGCGCCTGGAAGGGTCGCTACGCCTCTGCAACTGGGGTGCCCCAACGACCCCAATAATGGTTGAGCGGTTATGATGACGACGATGATGATATAAGGGCTACCTGAAAAATACGGTTACCAAAAGAATTGAATGATTGTTAATTTAATTGTTAGAGTAGAAGGAGGCTTTGGTTAAGTTTTAAATTACTTTGTGGTTTGTTTGTTTTTTACCGACAATAGATGGGGGGAGGGGGTAGATGTTGAAACTTATGACGATATGGGTAGAGTGAGGGCGGGGGATTGACGTCACATATCATAAAATGTTGCATTTTCAAACGCGTTATCTTTTAAATTTCTATGTTTGGACAAATGTACTGCACTCATTTATTCCACTCAGTTGTAGTGTAGACAGAACGCACTGCGGGAGGGGGGAGGTTTAAGTGTGATCAGTGTTTCTTTCAGACATTTTTTCTACGAGGGGTAAGGGAGGGGGGCACTTGCATCATTCGAGGTGGCGGCCTTAAATTCTGGGGGGGGGGGGGGGAGCGGGGGGCAACTCTGTTTGTAACCATGTAACCATTACAGTGTGTAAGCATTACAGTTTGTAACCATTACAGTGTGTAACCATGTAAGCATTACAGTGTGTAACCATTACAGTGTGTAACCATTACAGCGTGTAACCATGTAACCAGTACAGTGTGTACCCATTACAGTGTGTAACCATGTAACCATTACATTCTGTAACCATGTAACCATTACAGTGTGTAACCATTACAGCGTGTAACCATGTAACCAGTACAGTGTGTACCCATTACAGTGTGTAACCATGTAACCATTACATTCTGTAACCATGTAACCATTACAGCGTGTAACCATGTAACCATTACAGCGTGTAACCATTACACCAACCAAGCTGTAAACGAACCCCCCTAAAACAACAGTAATTGAGCCAGCTGACGTCACATACAACAAGCTCCAGCAATCGATCACAACTCCGTGACTTTGTGATTGGTTTATCGACGTCACATGACTTTGTGATTGGTTTATCGACGTCACATGACTTTGTGATTGGTTTATCGACGTCACGTGACTTTGTGATTGGTTTATCGACGTCACATGACTTTGTGATTGATTTATCGACGTCACGTGACTTTGTGATTGGTTTATCGACGTCACATGACTTTGTGATTGGTTTATCGACATCACCAAAAGCCCACTCAACATCCCATTAATTAGTATTTTTTTAAAGATCTTTTTTATCACCCATAATTGATTAGCTTAATTAATCATCACTAAATATCAGATTAGGAAATAAAACGTACCTCCGCTAAAAGTTGTCTGACTCTCCTGTTAAGTGAAACACGTTTGTCGGCATGACACGGCCAATGTGCCGGCTCAGCCAATGAAAACACTTCTTGCTCGAGGTCCAGCCAATGAAAACATCTCATGATGAATGTCCAGCAGCGAGGCCAGGCCACCTGCCCGGGGGAGGCGGGGCTGCGGGGGATGGGCGGTGCCTAGATCTGAAGCTTCTGGAATCTCTCGCTGGAACCCTGGCACCGTTAGAATTAGCCCCGGGGGCGGGGCGAGTGCCAGACTGTGGACGTACACTGTCAGTATGGGGGGAGGGGGCTGGCTGGTGACGACTGAGGAAGATAACAAAAAATTGAAACGCGGTAATGCGGCCTCGACAAGTAGCTTGTGATTGACACAGGGTTTGGCTCAATCTGCCACAATCATGTAGCATATTGCTAGAGATCTTCGCTGGGGGAGAGGTTCATACTGCTACACTGTGAGACAGTTGAAACCTGCTACACTGTCCGACAGTTCAAACCTGCTACACTGTCAGACAGTTGAAACCTGCTACACTGTCCGACAGTTCAAACCTGCTACACTGTCCGACAGTTCAAACCTGCTACACTGTCAGACAGTTGAAACCTGCTACACTGTCCGACAGTTCAAACCTGCTACACTGTCCGACAGTTCAAACCTGCTACACTGCAGCCAATATTGGCTGGAGTTGACCAAACTAGCCACACGGCCCAACTTTGGCTGGAGTTGACCAAACTAGCCATACGGCCCAACTTTGGCTGGAGTTGACCAAACTAGCCACACGGCCCAACTTTGGCTGGAGTTGACCAAACTAGCCATACGGCCTAGCTACTGGCAACCTTCTACTCTGGATGTAACTTCTCACACTTCGGCGGCTCTCAAGAGTTTTGTGTTCAAAGTATCGGACACTTAGGTCGTCTCATAGTTCTTTTTTAAAAGGACCAGGACTAAAACCTATGCAACACCTCGATGGTGAAGGACTAGGACCGAAGGACATACAGCATATTCTGTTATACAAGGACTAGGATTACAGGGCATACGAAGGACCGGTAAGTCTGACCGATACAAGTTTTGAACTTTACGGTAACTTGGCTCACTAGGTACATGTTCGCTTTATTGTTTCTATCATCTGTGGTATGTGGCTTGTGTTTAATGGAGAGTTTATACATCAACTAATGCAGATATAGTTTTTATACTTACTTTAATGCAGATATAGTTTTTATACTTACTTTAATGCAGATATAGTTTTTATACTTACTTTAATGCAGATATAGTTTTTATACTTACTTTAATGCAGATATAGTTTTTATACTTAATTTAATGCATTTATAGTTTTTATACTTACTTTAATGCAGATATAGTTTTTATACTTACTTTAATGCAGAAATAGTTTTTATACTTACTTTAATGCAGATATAGTTTTTATACTTACTTTAATGCAGATATAGTTTTTATACTTACTTTAATGCAGATATAGTTTTTATACTTACTTTAATGCAGATATAGTTTTTATACTTACTTTAATGCAGATATAGTTTTTATACTTAATTTAATGCATTTATAGTTTTTATACTTACTTTAATGCAGATATAGTTTTTATACTTACTTTAATGCAGAAATAGTTTTTATACTTACTTTAATGCAGATATAGTTTTTATACTTACTTTAATGCAGATATAGTTTTTATACTTACTTTAATGCAGATATAGTTTTTATACTTAATTTAATGCATTTATAGTTTTTATACTTACTTTAATGCAGATATAGTTTTTATACTTAATTTAATGCATTTATAGTTTTTATACTTACTTTAATGCAGATATAGTTTTTATACTTACTTTAATGCAGATATAGTTTTTATACTTAATTTAATGCACTTATAGTTTTTATACTTACTTTAATGCAGATATAGTTTTTATACTTACTTTAATGCAGATATAGTTTTTATACTTAATTTAATGCATTTATAGTTTTTATACTTACTTTAATGCAGATATAGTTTTTATACTTACTTTAATGCAGATATAGTTTTTATACTTAATTTAATGCATTTATAGTTTTTATACTTACTTTAATGCAGATTTAGTTTTTATACTTACTTTAATGCAGATATAGTTTTTATACCTAATCTAATACAGATATAGTTTTATACTTCATCTAATACAGATATAGTTTTTATACTTAATTTAATGCAAATATAGTTTTTATACTTAATTTAATGCAGATATAGTTTTTATACTTAATTTAATGCAGATATAGTTTTTATAATTACTTTAATGCAGATATAGTTTTTATACTTAATTTAATGCAGATATAGTTTTTATACCTAATTTAATACAGATATAGTTTTTATACAGCATCTAATGCAGATATAGTTTTTATACTTAATTTTAATGCAGAGACGAAATTTTATATTATATTTTTTAAGTAGTTTTTATACTCAAACTAATGCAAATATAAATTTTATAATAATCTAAGGCTTATATAGTTTTTGTACTGAATCTAACGCAGATATAATTTTCATACTTAATCTAATACAGATATAGATTTTATAGTGTTCTAATGCATATATAGTTTATTTACACTGAATCCAACGCAATACAAATTTTCATACTCATTCTAATGCAGCTAAAAAAATTATTTCATTCATAATCTAGCGAAGCTATAATTTTTGTAGTTTATCGAGTGCAATTTTTATACTTAAACTAATGCAGCTATAATTTGTATATTTAATATGATTTTAATATATACAAACACATACACAAATACACACAGACACATACCCACACCACAAGTTAACAACAAAAAAGGATTGGAATAAGCATCGTGACAAAAGTATTGGAAGATCAAAACAAACTTTCTTCCAACTACAAAAATATTGAGAGGACACAAACTTTCTTCCAACTACAAAAATATTGAGACACAAACTTTCTTCCAACTACAAAAATATTGAGACACAAACTTTCTTCCAACTACAAAAATATTGAGACACAAACTTTCTTCCAACTACAAAAATATTGAGAGGACACAAACTTTCTTTCAACTACAAAAATATTGAGAGGACACAAACTTTCTTCCAACTACAAAAATATTGAGACACAAACTTTCTTCCAACTACAAAAATATTGAGACACAAACTTTCTTCCAACTCCAACATTGTGGTGAGCAAATCACTGGTCGATGCTTCCAGAACATTTATAGTGAGTTATTTGACCACACACACTCCATTTACAACAAAACATACCCCATTTACAACCACACATACCCCATTTACAACCACACATACCCCATATATAACCACACATACCCCATTTACAACCACACATACCCCATATACAACCACACATACCCCATTTACAACCACACATACCCCATTTACAACCTCACATACTCCATATACAACCACACATTCCCCATTTACAACCACACATACCCCATATACAACCACACATACCCCATTTACAACCAGACATACCCCATATACAACCACACATACCCCATTTACAACCACACATTCCCCATTTACAACCACACACACTCCATATACAACAAAACATACCCCATTTACAACCTCACATACTCCATATACAACCACACATACCCCATTTACAACCACACATACCCCATATATAACCACACATACCCCATTTACAACCACACATACCCCATTTACAACCACACATACCCCATATACAACCACACATACCCCATTTACAACCACACATACCCCATTTACAACCTCACATACTCCATATACAACCACACATTCCCCATTTACAACCACACATACCCCATATACAACCACACATACCCCATTTACAACCAGACATACCCCATATACAACCACACATACCCCATTTACAACCACACATTCCCCATTTACAACCACACACACTCCATATACAACAAAACATACCCCATTTACAACCTCACATACTCCATATACAACCACACATACCCCATTTACAACCACACATACCCCATATATAACCACACATACCCCATTTACAACCACACATACCCCATATACAACCACACATACCCCATATACAACCACACATACTACATATACAACCACACATACCCCATATAAAACCACACATACCCCATATACAACCACACATACCCCATATACAACCACACATACCCCATACACAACCACACATACCCCATATACAACCACACATACCCCATATACAACCACACATACCCCATATACAACCACACATACCCCATATACAACCACACATACCCCATACACAACCACACATACCCCATATACAACCACACATACCCCATATACAACCACACATACCCCATATACAACCACACATACCCCATATACAACCACACATACCCCATACACAACAACACATACCCCATATACAACCACACATACCCCATATACGACCCACATACGATCACACCATATACCCAGCTATCACTTCATGCTCTACAATCACAATCACAATCCGGGTGAACTTCACGAGAAGTAAACACAACTCAATCATTAAGCTAGTGCCATAACCATCAAAACACCATTCACTAATTACAGAATAACCATAACCATCAAAACACGAAATGTTTTATATTTAATAATAAAAATATGACCAGTGTCTCTTCCAAACTTTTTCTCCGGGGGGGGGGGGGGGGCGGACTAAACTTTCCGAGGGGACGGACACTATTAAAAGTATATGATGCCCGTCCTGCTTCTAGTCAAGCTGTCCTTTGACTCAGACAAGAAATGAATGTTGACATCAAGTTTCTAGTCAAGCTGTCCTTATACTCAGACAAGAAATGAATGTTGACATCATGCTTCTAGTCAAGCTGTCCTTTGACTCAGACAAGAAATGAATGTTGACATCATGCTTCTAGTCAAGCTGTCCTTTGACTCAGACAAGAAATGAATGTTGACATCATGCTTCTAGTCAAGCTGTCCTTTGACTCAGACAAGTAATGAATGTTGACATCATGCTTCTAGTCAAGAAATGAATGTTGACATCAGAATTTACACTGATAAGGACAGTGCTAGGGCGTTAAAGTGCAAACTAATTTTTTTAAAGATGGAAAATAAAATGCAGACAAAGTCAAAAGTAAAAACACCAATTGAATTATGCAGCCGGACAAGTATTGTTTTTTTTTCAACATTACGAGAAATTTCTCTTCAAACAAACATGGCGTCCAATCAGACATGGGACCCTACTAGCACTAGAGGTTTCGATTGAAAAGTTTACAGCCTTAAGTATGTGTTTCGGCTATAGCTTTAACGATACCTTTATTTACTAGTTCTGTTGAGTTCCAATACTAAGATACGTTTTCAATATGGACAGATCTTAAATTTGAGAAGATGAAGAGATTTATTAGATGGACGACCAAGAAAATATCTTTGTCTGCCAAAAAAATAATAAAATTAAATAATTTAAACCATGTTTCAAATGACTTGTTTAAGGCACTAAATTAGCATGGATATTCGATTGTGTGATTTGATTTGTGTCTGTTGTCACATTGAAATGGCAGCGACGTGCGACAGGTACTCGAGCTGTAGATACATGTGTGCTTTGTTGTATTGTGTGGGGAAAATTATTTGAAAAACTATTGGGAAAACTTTAGCGAATCTCTTTACATAAACGGTACTACCAGAATCGTACGCAGGGCATGTGGGGGAGGGGGGGAGGGGGGGCAATTTTAGAAAGAGAGGCACCTTTAGGGTGCTTAAATAAAGTCTAAAACAGGTTCCAGCAACAAAACAGTTCCTCTCCTGCCCAAAACCTACCAACCTGACACCCCTAGCAACTGTTGCCATGGTCAACCTTATGTTAGGTAACATCTAATTTAGGGTAGGAGTGGTCGACCGATAGAGCTTACGGCTGTTAACTCAACAGTCTCGAGTTCGGATCCCGGGCTCAAATTTATATGACGACCCTGCTCTGATGGGTACCTACTAGTGTCAGAGAAGTTGTAGTGAAAACAGATGAACTCTACTTCATCTGCCCCTAGTATCTAGGGCACAAAGAGGAAAAGATGATGAAACATCTAATTTGTTCATTAC